GTAAAAGACGGATTCGTGAAAAAAAAATTTAGCTTCGACGTGAAAGACGAAAAAGAAATTGGAAATGAAAGGGAAGAAGATCAAACCAGTTGAACGCGAAACTCTGAAAGAGATTGGGGAATGAAATGAAGTGTAAAGAAATTTGGGAGAAGGAAAGGGTTTTAAAGGACTTTGTGTTGGCGGCAATCCATCCGTGGAAACGCGTATTTAATTAAAATTAAAATTAGCTAAAATGAATATAATTGTGGTGAGTGAAATAAAAAACTTATTTTCACAACATTTATTTATAAACCGCCATTTATAAGCAAAATTGACTATTTTCAAGTTAGTTAAAAATAATACTAATAAAATTCATTTAATATAATAAAAATATACTTTTTAAATTATTTTAAATCATATCGATTGGGGTGATACTTATGTTTATATATAAAGGAAATTTTGTAAAATTAGCATGAATTAACATGGAAATGGTTTGTTTATGTTAGTTCGCTAAATATAATTTTTTCTTATAATGGATAAGGAATCATAAAGATAATTCTAAAAATATTTCTGTCCTGTTATTTCTAGATTAGTATGTGTTTGTTTTAACTTTGTATAATTTTCAATCTAATTGAAAATCAGTCATGGAAAAGTTGACTAACATTAAGGCTTGTGTCTTTTGGGTGTATTTGGGAGATTATTTTGAAAAGATGATTTGAATGGATTTGAGGATAAATTTTTAGTTGTTTTTTTGAGTGGAATTGTGGGTAAATGAGATGATTTGGAAGTAAAGTTTGCGAGAATTAGTGTAGGATTTGATTGATGTGATAGATTTTAAAAATTAGTTTAATTGGTAGAAATTAAAGATTACCAAAATGTCCCTAGTCATGCAGTTGTAACCGGTTACACCACTCTTGTAACTGATTACTCCTCTACTCTATATTGTTCATGCAGCTGTAACCGGTTACACCATTCTTGTAACCGATTACTCCTCTACTTTATATTTGTTCATGCAGTTGTAACTGTTTATACCACTCTTGTAACCGATTACTCCTCTACTTTATATTTGTTCATGCAGCTCAGATCAACTGTGGATGTGTTAAACTGTAATAAAATCATTAGAACAGGGGCAATTCAGACTATTTAATCATCATCCCTCCAAATCTCTTCAGATGTGCGGGTGAATGAACAGTGGATGAATCTCGTAAATCACTTCATTTCCATCCAGCTAATCAACTAAAGCGAACACAAAATTTTTGTTATTCATCGCTAGCAAATTGACCCAAACAGTGCCATCCGCGGAAGCGAACACAACTTCTGAATGAAGCTTCGAATGAAAACAAACTAATTTCTAATTATTTTTATTAAAAAATATATGTAGTACTAGGACACAAAAGAATTTTTGGTGAACGGCTTGACAAGTCTTTTTTATATATATATATATTTATAATATAATATTATATATATATATATATATAAAATATATATATATATATAATATCTTTTAATCATAAAAAAAATTCGCTTACAGAAATAAAGATATTACAACAAGATTTCACTATTACTTATATTGTTACAATGTATATTTAGCGAACTAACATAAACAAACCATTTCCATGTTAATTCATGCTAATTTTACAAAATTTCCTTTATATATAAACATAAGTATCACCCCAATCGATATGATTTAAAATAATTTAAAAAGTATATTTTTATTATATTAAATGAATTTTATTAGTATTATTTTTAACTAACTTGAAAATAGTCAATTTTGCTTATAAATGGCGGTTTATAAATAAATGTTGTGAAAATAAGTTTTTTATTTCACTCACCACAATTATATTCATTTTAGCTAATTTTAATTTTAATTAAATACGCGTTTCCACGGATGGATTGCCGCCAACACAAAGTCCTTTAAAACCCTTTCCTTCTCCCAAATTTCTTTACACTTCATTTCATTCCCCAATCTCTTTCAGAGTTTCGCGTTCAACTGGTTTGATCTTCTTCCCTTTCATTTCCAATTTCTTTTTCGTCTTTCACGTCGAAGCTAAATTTTTTTTTCACGAATCCGTCTTTTACATGCATTGCCTTGGAAAAAGGAAAAAAAAATAACTTTATTGGGGGTTTTGGGAATGGGTGTGTTATGAAATTTTCAATCTTTTTGGTTTCTTGTTGTGAAAGAACATTGTAACTTAAAGTTCATTCAGGGTTCCGTCGGTAACGACTGAATTTACTAACTTTGTTGCCTGAATTTCCTTGTTTTTGTGCAAATGGGGCTCCTAGAATCAAGTCCACAATGCCAGGAAAGCCTAATTTGAATCCACCTACACTCTCATGTGTTCCAGTCTCCGGGACTGAAGACGAACTAGATTCCAAGAATCACAAAGAAGGTTCCGGTAATCACGAAAAAGAAGGTTCCATGAATCACGAAGAAGAAGGTTCCAGGAAACACGTTGGGAAAGACTCCAAGACTCGCGAAGAAGGTTCCAAAAGTCACGTAGAAGAAGATTCCAAGGATCACGAAGAAGAAGGTTCTAAGAAAGAAGTAGAAGAAAGTTCAGAGAATTATGAAGAAGAAGGTCCTAAGAATCAAGTTGAAGAAGGTTCCAACAATAACGAGGAGGAAAATCCCAAGACTCGCGAAGAAGATTCCAAGAACCATGAAGAGAAAGATTCCAAGAACCTCGTAGAGAAAGACTTCAAGAACCACAAAGAAGAGGATTCCAAGGATCACGAAGAAAATAATTCCAAGAACCCCGAAAAAAAATATTCCAAGAAACAGAAAAAGAGTTCTTCCAAGAAGCTCGAAAAAAAAGATATCAAGAAAAAGCTAAACATTCCGTTGGTTGAGACCCTTATTCAAACTCGTGTCAGAAAACTTACCGAGTCTTTGCGTCAAGAGGAGCTCGACCGACAAGCTTGGGTTTCTTCACAAATGGCAGAGTGGCTTGAGGCAGAAGCTGAAATGGATATTCGATATCTAAAGAAGTCATTTCCTGATATTTCTCAACAATCCCTTACAGATGTATACCTTGTCAACGGTGGTGATCTGGGAGATACCTTGGACATGCTCAGCCTGCTTGAGGTATTTTTTTTTTATATTTCATTATTTTGTTCAGACTTCGTCGTCTCGAAGTTTTGTGGCTTTATGCATTCTTTTTATCTGTGTTGTGTATATTATATGTTGCATGAATAATTGGTTACGGTATGATGCTGAGTGGAAGTTTATATGTGAGATTATTTCTGGGTGGAAATACTTGTTCACAAAAATTACAATTAACTGATACTACACAATCCCATCCCCCTTTATTTTTGAATATTTTTAATTTCTGCGTGAAGGTTTTCACATTCAGTTTCCACTGCATTGACACAAAAATTGTTATTAAAACTCACCTTGTGATTTGATTTTTCAAATTTCTTTCTGTTTTCATTGGAGATATCTTTCTGTGCAAATGCCTAATTCTGTATCCTCTTTTTGTGATCTTGGGTACTTTTGTACACTACTTTAACTTTCTGTATGATTTATTGTGTTTGCATGCATGGCAATGCTTATAACTTGACGCAACGGAAAACTTGTTGTGTTCTGTGCAATACATTCAGATGATCAAGGGAACTAAAATGTTAAGAACATTCGTTAAAACTTCTCTCACCTATATGTGTTGCAGTAATCTGTTTCCCAGTACAATTAATTGCCAGAATTATCACCATATTGGTTAACTTAATTAGTCAAAGTCACTTCTCAATGTAATATATGTTCTACTTTATGTTGTAATTTCTGTCCATTAATTACATCTTTTCACCTTACAGAGTGATGACTTGGGGCCTTCTGAAATACCGGATATCGATGATCCTTCAAAACCTGTGCCAGCAGATGATGATTCTACTTCACCAAAAGAGAAGCAACCTGAAAAATAAGCCAGTGCTTCGCCAAATCTCAATAAAGCAATCAGCAAGTGTAAATGTAGGAAAGTTTATCTTTGACAGCACATTTTTTTTGTTTGTTTACTTCTGAGCTGGTTGAATATTATTTTGCTTTTGGTAGCGAAAGTGTTAAATTTTGCACTTTTCTTTGTGAAATAATTTTGATGTCTCGCATTGAAGATAGTATAATAAAAGTCACGAAGTTGCAATGCAATTCACCTCACTCAATTCTTGATTTTTTTTTAAATCATCTCTTATATGGACATCTGAAAAATACCCTTTAAGTCAAATGTTCAATTACTATCTAAAAATGTTTGTTTGTTAGACTTTTACAAACTTAATCTAGATTACTTTTTGAAAATATATCATGGTGTTGATTGGGGGTTAAAATAAGAATAGTGTCATTTTTTCAACATTTTCTTACTAATTCTTCTACTTTTGCATTTTATTTCCATCTTCCTCAAGAGGTAAATTTTGACACTAAATATGAACTCGTCTTTTCATGGGATTTTTCATTGTGCTCTTTCCATGGGAATTTGAATTTTCCTTTTATATTTTGTCAATAATTTTTTGGGGGTGAGGGCGTATAAATGTAATTTTATATTAGAATTTTGTTTTCGTGTGCATTTCATAGTTTTTATATTTTGAAGACATTTAATTTTATTTATCTTTTTGCTTAATATTTTACTAACTTGTTTTTTAATTAAACTTAATACGGTTGGGATTAAAATAAGAGTTTTTCTTCTTTTTCTGTAATGAAGGTGTTTAAATTCTAGTTGGAGAAGGTGGTATCAGTTGTTAAATATATTCTTTAGCAAAATTATATTGGGATGCAACTAATTATGGGATTTTTTATGCAAGAAATAATATAAAAATTATTTATTCTGGGACTTTTGTTTCATGTTAATTTTTCTTTTATAAATTGGGAATATTTCTTTGATGTTTGTTTATTGCTTGTAAAATGTTTCTACCACTAGATATATATGTATATCAGTTAGCATCCTTAGATATATAATATTTCAGAAAATATAATTTTGGTAAATAAAAAGCATACCATCAAAGAAACATTAACTAAATTACACTAAAACTTTTCAAATGAATGAGGTTTATTTGGAATTTAAGAAAAATGTTTATGGTTTAAAAGATTTGAATGTTTATTTGCCGTGGTTTATTTAGAATTCCCCGTTTAATTTCAATCAGCTCGTTGAAAAGAAAAGAAAGAATACACGTGCACCTCCACCCTTGGAACTGCATCCGAAATTTCCCTTGCAATCGCAAACCGACACATCAATTTCTAGATTTTTTTTAAATTGTTGTCATTTGATTTGATCGAGCTTTTTCTTCTCTTTTCATGTCACCTCGCATATTCAATCAACCCTCCAAGCAAGTTTTAAACTTTGGTGGACGAAGGGTTGTATATCGCAATCGGGTGTCTGTGAAAAGAGTCTTAATTTGAAGGTATTTGTTGCAATAATAGGGAGATATTCAAGTTTTTTGTGGAAAAAGAAAACATGGGTGTGGATTACTATGATGTGTTGAAGGTTAACAGAAATGCTACTGAGGATGATGTGAAGAAATCATACAGAAAGTTGGCCATGAAATGGCACCCTGATAAGAACCCCAACAACAAACAGGAAGCTGAAGCCAATTTCAAACAGATTTCAGAGGCTTACGAGGCAAGAAACCTTTCATGCTGTGTTCTTTTTAATGTCAGTTTTTAGCCATTAGAATTTAACAACTCCTGAAATAATTTGGTTGGTGAGAATAGGGAGGAAAAAAGAGAGAAAGAAAGAAATTAACACACGTTATTTCATTTTTTTTTTTAAATGCTAGTAATGTCATTAGGATTGTGAAAGGCGAATTGGTGATTTTAAATACTAATTGTAGAGAAATGAAATTGATGAAAAGCAAAAGTTAGGGGCATTGCAGGTTGTTCTTTTGTGGATTCTGCATCTAAGTGTGGTCATAAATTTCATGAAAGTGAACGTTTTCTATTAGATTGAGAGCTTTATGGCGCTCAATTGTCAGTTTTTTCATCAATATTACTTGAGATGGAGTTATTTTATCAACATCCACGCTAAAAGAAAAAAAAAATGTCATTGTTTTTGTATGTTGCTGGAATATAATCCAGAAGTAAATCCTTATCAGTTTGATGCATGTTTTTCCTCAAACTGTAGATGTAATGGGGCTGGCTTTGGTGAATTCAGGTGCTGAGTGACCCTCAGAGAAGGTTGGTTTATGATCAGTATGGAGAGGAGGGGTTGAAAGATAAGCCACCGGACGAACCATCAAATGGGTTCAACCCCAGAAATGCAGAGGATATTTTTGCAGAATTCTTTGGAAGTAGCCCTTTTGGATTTGGATCATCTGGGCCAGGGAAATCTAAGAGATTCCCCTCTGATGGAGGGACTACAACATTTGGTGGATTTAGTGCAAAGGATAATAATTTTCGATCATATAGTACTGGACGGGGGAATGTGCTAAAGAAGCCACTGCCTGTGGAATCCAAACTGCCTTGCTCTTTGGAGGAATTGTACACTGGCTCTACTAGGAAAATGAAGATCTCAAGGAAGACCGTGGATGCTAACGGGTATGTTAAAATTATGTCTTCTCCTTAACATTTTAAAATAAAACCATTGTTTGATAGATTTCTCAACACAATCATGCGATGAAAGAATAAAATAAATATGAAAAATTGCAGATGGACAGTTCCGGAAACAGAGATATTGACCATTGATGTGAAGCCGGGTTGGAAGAAAGGGACAAAGATTACGTTCCCTGAGAAAGGGAATCAAGAACCAAATCAACTGCCAGCAGACCTTGTGTTTGTGATTGACGAGAAGCCTCATGATGTGTTCAAGAGAGACGGGAATGACCTTATTGTGAACAAAAGGGTATCATTGGCGGAGGCCATTGGAGGAACCACAATAAACCTCAACACGCTTGATGGACGAAGTTTAAATGTTCAAGTCACTGACATTGTGAGTCCTGGATACGAGATGAATGTTGCAAAAGAAGGGATGCCAATAACAAAGGAGCCTGGTCATAGGGGTGATCTCAAGATCAAATTTGATGTCAGTTTTCCTACAAAGTTGACCCCAGAGCAACGAGCAGGACTCAAGCGAGCACTCACAAGTTGATCATTCTTTTGAATTGAGGCCATTTGGAAGTGTAGTCATCTATTTATCTTCGTACCTGTTCTTCAATGTTTCTCATATTTGCCTACAAAGCTCTTGGTTTTCTTACCATTTGTCTGTTTTTCTCCGTCATTTGTTATAGTTGTCCGTCGTTTTTACTTTTTTTGGGGGAGGGGGAGGGGTGTTCTAAGTGGGTCCTTCCGTTGCTGTACTTCTTTGCTGAAGATGTAAATATAATATAGGTTCTAAATTTCACGTAACGGTGGAAACTTAAGATTTGGGTATCTCTGGAACGAATCATGCCACGTGATGGTGGATTCAGATGCTTAATACTAAATCATAATTCTTTTATACAGAGTAAAATGTTGTTTATTGAGACAGCAATACGGAATCGTAACAAAAAAATAGACAACGAAAGAATATGCGAACCACTTTCGTTACTTCAGAACCCGAGTATACCTTTTCTCTTGTACTTTTAAACGCACACGTATATTCATGTATAATTCGGGTGATTATTTTACGTAAGAGATGCCATAACTCAAATTAAGTCAAATTTATGAAAATATCCCTAAGATCAAGAAAGGTAGCAACTACAAGTAATACACAGACTACGTTCATGTTTATATTCTGTTCAAAACCACGTTCAAAGACGATCCTAAATTTTCTCTCATTTACATTTGAGAATATTCTATATTATGCAAATGGGAAATCAGAATCACCCTGTATGATTGCTATAGCAAGCAGGGATCGAATCGATAGTCTGCAACTTTCGTTGAAGCAGTCAGAGTAATGAAAGCGCCATGAAAATCTAGAAGTAACGTAAAAACTAAAGCATGAAAATTGTTATGTCCCTCGCATTTATTCAGCGGAACACCTGTCGGTAAACAGAAACAGCAGAAAAATGGTCATTTGTTTAATGAGGCTACCAAAAAAAAAGTTGGAGACCTTACAATAAGCTTACATAATACAGATAGGAAAGACATTAAAAAATTAAAAGAGGACTGAAGTTTACTGCGAAAGACACTAAAATCCCCTACTTCTAGACACATTTTGAGGCCAGGTAGTGCCTTGAGAAGGCGCTCCGTAAGGAGGTCCACCTCTTGGCGGTAAATTGCTAGCCTGGGGAGAAGGAACCCATTGAGGGTCAAAATTTCTTTGAGTTTGAGTCACATTCACCGGGGGTTGCAGATATTGTGGTGTCATAATAGGCTGTTGTTGTGAACCCGGTAATGATTGATTCATAATGTGCGGTCGAAGATGAAAGTTATGCATTGTCTGTTGGGGAAGAAACGGATTCTGGGATGTTTGGGGCTGCCATTCAGGTATGTCATCATCATCATCATTCCAGGGTTGAATTGTCCCCCCAAATTTATCCTGCCAGTTTACTGAAGGTGCACTTGGTTTGTTTTGCCCATATTTGTATACAAGTTCTCTCATTTGTTCTACAGGACGTGCAGGTGGTGGGGCTGGGTTAACCGAGTGTGATGTAACCATATTTGATAGTTCCTTTGGTTTTTGGGCTAAGTGTGGTGGAATCGAACTACTGGAGAAATTAAACTCCGGCAGATCATCCTCGACTCGGGCAGCAGGTGGCCCAAATCCAGGAGGAACATCATCATCGTCATCATTCTCATTCTCAATGGTCTTAAGGTCCGTAGAGGGTACTGCTTTATGGGTGGAATTGGCATTCACATTTATATCTTGCTGTCTCCTACTGAAGTATTGTTGTCTTTTAGAGCTGTGTTTGTGGTGAGTAGCAGTGGTGGGTGATATAGACGTTAAATTAGTTTTTCTCCATACAATAATACCAATTAGACCATTATCAATAGAATTAACTGCCTCTATTTGTTCCTTTGGAAGTATGTTGCTCAGCATTTCAACTGTTTTCTTATGAGGTGGGCAAAAGTAAAGTTCTACTCCATGCACAGGCTCTGCAAATCCTACTCTCTCGTCCGAAATATACGAGTCAGCCACCTGCAAGCAAAAGAATCGTCTCATAAATAA